CATCACCTATGGGGGGCCATGGTGTCAGCAGGCCTCTGTGCTGGATCTTTCTTCAAAAGACTGCTTAACGTATATATCCCGTGACAGGCTTTTGCACTTCTTTCCCATGCTCAGAGCTACCACAGCTTCTCCAAATACCTGTTACTGTGCTCTTTCTGGAGGGCTGCTGTGAGAGAACATGGGATTTTAGCTCCAAGATCTCGTCATCTACCAGATCAGCCCAAGTGCTTTAGTCACAACAACTCTCTAGAGAAAGAGCTTATTAACCTTAAAATCACATTAAACCTATATATACTAAAATATTTAGTTCTCAAAACTTCACGAAGCCAGCTCTGGAGTCTCATTTCATAGCTGCATGCTTTGTGACTATCCTCTTGGTAGTCCTGCGAAAGGGTGGCTCACCAGTAAGCGACTGCATACCGCACTTGAGAATATGGTTTCTGTTTGTACCTTCTTTCTGGAATCACCTTTTGATGTGATGTTTTGTTCCCTGAACTGTGGGTGTGAATCCTTTGTTCTTACATAAATGTTACAGCACATGCTAAAGGTTAATGTAGTCGAAGCACTGAACTCTCTGCTCCCTGAGGTTAAGTGAAAAACCACGCTGTCTCTAAACCAACAGGACAGTATTGATGTCACTTGAAATCTGCGTTCTTTGAATGCTGCTGACCTACTCTGTAGCTCTGTACTAGCATTTTACATTAGTGAGCCACGTTCTGCAGTTGTATAGTGATGGTATGCTTATAAAACAGGTTACTAATAAATATTCTTGAGAAATACTTTGATGATAGAATTCAATTATCCAAATGAGTAAAATACAGTTGCTTCCTCAATGAAGCTGATAAGCAGACTTTTATAAAATTACTGTCTCTTGATTCACTTGCTTGAGGTGCAGCCCATGGGTAATACAGTCTTTTCAATAAAATAACCTTTTATAGGGCATATTTCTCCAGTTCAGAATTCAATGTAAGTCTTACGACACAAAACAGGCTTTTGAGAAGACAATCAGACCTGCCTAGCTAATGAGCCAAATATGCCGAAGTATAAAATACACTGCTGTTCTTGTTTGTTTGGTCCGTAGGATCACAGCGAGCCTCTTCCCTTGCCGCATCAAGAATGGAACAAGCCATATCTGAAATAACAATGCGGAGCAGCATGATGAAGCAAGGACCTATGCAGCTGTGGACAACTCTTGAACAAATCTGGCTACAAGCTGGTAAGTTTTGGCATTCATGGACAACCTGGAATTCCTTCACTTTCCAGTGGTGAATAAGATGACATGGGTATTAAAGGAATAGTTAAAATCAGGGCTGTTTCAACACCTTACACCAACAGTAAATTTGCCCATCTATCCCACTTGGTTTTTGAAATACTGCTTGGTTAAATGTTAACAAATACAGTGTTGGAGTAATGTGATTTTTCTGCTCACCTCTATTTTTCCGTAACACAGAAAACTTCAAGTATAACTAAAATATGTTTCTAAATGAGGAGAGGAAGCAGTTCTTCATTAAGAAATGTCATTTGATAGTAGCAATTAGTTTCATTTTGCTGAACATGATTGGGCAAACAACCCATTACATGTTATTTAGGCTGACAGCATTCCAGTTTTTCCTGAGTTTTAAGTGAAAATTATTAAACAAGAAAAAGTCCTCTACTCATCTTATTCTTGGCTGCTTGAATCTCCCAAGGACTTGAAAGATTTGCACATCACTTTGAAACACATTGTAGCAAAGCTCAGATAGGGAAAGGAGAATATTGAGAAGGAACTCTACCCAGTGGTGACATCCAAACTCATGAAGGAGTTTTATACAGGGCCCTTGGTGAGGAGGAGAGTTGCACGGCACATTCTACCATTTGCATTTCAGGACTGGTAAAAGGAGTTCTGACCCTGCAGTCTTGCTTTTAAGAGACACAGTTTTTCTTCCACCATTGTGATCCTGAAATAACGTGAAATAAAGTGCTGTGATTACTTCTTAGATGTCTCTGCTACCACATGCAACAAGAAAAAAAGCAGAGCACACCAGAACGTTGCTGATAATTTACTGTTACGTATGCAGAACTTGTCAAATTCTATCAATTATCTACAATTGACAATTTTTGCATAAAACCTGGTAGTCTCACGCTATTTCTCAGCAAAGACTTTTATAGCTGTTTTTATGGGGCTGTTTTCTATCAAACCAGACCTCAATTCTGGTTCAAAATATGTGACATTCTGTTTGCTACAATCTGGCTAATTGTTAAGAAAAAAAGAACTTACCTAATGGAGTGCATCATCCTTTAAGTTAATCACGTGTTATTTGCTTAGGATTTCACTGCTGTACTATGGTCCTCAAAATCATTAGCAGGGTTTTCTTTTATTCCATTTATGCTTCTGATTTAAGGCTGAAGAGGAGGCTGGTGGGATTGGAAAAAAAAAAAAAAAAAAAGGAGTTTATTGTGGTGAGAAGTCAGGTGTCTGTTGTCCATCATCCTGCAGAGAGCTGGAGGCAGTTCTTATTTTTACTGCTGTGTGAAAAGACAAAAGTAATAAAGGCCTAGTGCTTGCTGTGACCTCGCTGTGAATTGCTACAATTACTTTTCAGCATGCCTTCCTCGGAGATGTTAATTCTTTTGGGCAGAAATTATAAGCTGTAACTTTTCTGTCCTGTTGGCTTATTTTAAACTTTGTTTTTCTTCATGTTTAATTTAACTGGATTTGAAATAGGATCAATGTTTTGACAGTATATATTGTGACTGCTTTGAGATTTCATTACTGAGACCAGTTACTGTTACGGATGCATCTTTGTGGTCTTGGTGGGCTTAGTGACTCAAATAGCCCAAAAAAGCATCACTGGCTCTCTGTGTCAAAATCTCTCCCATCAGGAAGGAGAGGAAGACAGGAATAGTTACAAGGTAATAACTTCCAAAATAGAAATATTTTGTAAACAACAGCTAAGGTCATCACATGCTCCTGTGCTACAGCTCACCACAAAATTAACAGCTGTGGAAAGCAACAAGCAATTAGCATAACCTTCTGATGCCTGCATCTGGACTCACTTCATGTTTATGAAAGAGCCACATCAGTGTGCTGTAGATTTCTATCAGTTTTAGCTGGGACTTGTCCTTTTTCAGTCAATGACTCATCTTGTGACTCTAGGCAAGTTGCCTAGCTTTTTTATACCTCAGTTTCCTATCTGTAAATGGAGGGAAATGTTTGTTTGCCTTTGGGAAAAGACTTGCATGCTGCTGTTTTTACCATTATTAACACTTTAACCTTTCTAGTGCTAATCATAAATCTCCAGATAAATCGTTACCCTCATACTACAGTAAATTAATAACAAAGCATCTATCTTTCTCAGATACAGGGAAGATGCAGCTGGTCATGTGTCTGTGTGCGGGTGTGGTATGAATGCAGAGCACCAGGCTGTGAGCCTGTCAGTCTGGGTTCCATCAGAGCCATTCCAGGTCCCATGCCTCTTCATATCCCAGGGCATGAAAGCTGATGAATCCAGGCAGAGTTCTCTGGGCCTTCACTGAAGAGAGGTGCTCTAAGCAAACTGTCCTACAGATATGTGAGGCTAGTTTTGCAGTCCTCAGCAGCCAGATTCCACTAAGGAGCTAGTGCACAGCAGCGCTAGTGTGTGGTAGTCATCAGATGGTGCCAGTATAGGGGAATGGTTACAGCATCACCATCTACCCATTGCTGCAGTAGGAGTTCAGGGCTAGCCTGCCTTTTGCACAAGCATCCTCAGTCTCTTGGAACTGGGGAACTTTTGTTTGTCTCCTGATTCATCTCTTATTTAGCACATTCTGTAATTAGTGCATGAGAACATTTGCAGTTAGCAGCTACTGAAGGCAAGGCTGTCAATTCTGCCCAAATAATGACTTTTTTGTGCTGTGCTAAAAGTACTTGTGTATAAGTGGGCATAGACCTGTGGTTTTCATCTGCAATTTTTCTGGGTTTATGAACAGCCACATAGAAAATAATAAAGCAGCAGCTTTGAAAGTGCAACTGCAAAGCCTGCATGTGCTGCACCATTGTTTTTTGCTTTTCCCTGCAGCGGTGTTTCATGAACTTCATCTTGGCCATTTGGCAAGCTAACTTCTTGTAGCTTCTGGTAAGCATCCAAATCGATGCATCTATGGTCTCTAGAACAAGTCCTCTTCTTCTTTTTCACACATCCACATAAAACTAAATTGTCACTGTTTATCTTATGTCTACCCATCTCTTGTAGGACCAGGGGGGAGTGCAATGATCCCATCTGCATCAGGGAACTTAACACATTTCTTTAGAGGGCTTCCATACCTTCCTGTCCCCTGCAGGCAGCCACAGTTGGCTTGGGAAGAGTAAGGGGTCTGTTGTCTTCAGAGGCAACAGAGGTGGACTTGGAGAGGTATGCTTTGGGAAATACTACAAGGCATGCTGTTTTCAAGTGTTCTTCAGCAAGGACTGTGATTAATACAGCTTGTCTGGTCCCTTTTAAAAATAACCCCCCTGCAGCTTCTTGAAATGTAATGGCTTTTTAAAAGGGTAGAGTCATCTCATTAGGTTTTACATTAACAAGCCTAAACATTATTCTTGGCCCAAGTCTGAAAGCAGCCCTGTGTCAGGGCCCTACTTCAGGGAATACTTGGAGAGGCAGCTCCCAGCAGTTCACAGTTCTGCTGTGGTGCAGCTCCAGGTGAGATGATCTTTATGTGATCCATATGCCCATTTTTTTCTCTTTTTTTTTCTGCTTTTCATGACTGACAGGTTAAATCAGGCTTGAAAAAACTTCTGTGGCATTAGTAAAGCTTGTTAACTCCTTCCACTTCTTGGAGCAGAAGGAGCTATGAGAATACTAGAGTTTATTGGTGATAATGGTACCAAGACGAATGTAGCTGGTAGCTGTTTCTGTCCCTTTTTTCCTTTACAGAATTATGCCAGTACTCTTCCTTTCTTTTTTAAAAATACAATCATGCTGTTTGGCTAAAGAAAATATGTTTGGAATGGTTCAGATTTATGACCAAAACTTACTTTCATTACGCGTTTTTACAAGATTGCTTTTGACCTGGGGAGCAAAGTGAGTCAGTTCTGAAAGTAAATAGTTTTAGTAGTTTTAAACTCCTTCGGTAACAAGTGATTTCTTGCCCAAAGTATGTGTGAGTGTATTTCCAGGCAGTAATAATAGTATACTCTGTTTATGTGGAGTATTTTAGAATGCTGCAAACCAGTTTAATAAGAGTTCAAATACTCCAGCTCCCGTTGCTATATTATTTTAAGCTTTACTTTTAACTACAATGTCCACTTTGTTTGTCTTTGCCAGTACTTTATATCTGACAATTGAGCTTCTTGACTAGCCCAGTACTTTACCAAATATGGCCACTCACAGCAAAGTAGGTCTGGTAATTTGATCTTAGATTGGCTAAATGCCTGCTAAATGCAGCCTGCAAACCTTACCAGGTAGACCTAATGCTTATTTCAAGGAGCTTTTAAAGAAAAATCACCCTGATAACTGTTCTGTGTAGTCACAGTGGGCTGGAGAGAGCTACCTGCTGGCTCACTAATGTGCTAGAAGTTTAGAAAAAAATATTCTCATGAACACGCCATAAACAAGAAATGTAAAGAGAGCCAGTGTAGCAGGGAACAGTGAGCTAATGGAAAAACATCTGTTCCCCTGAGTTATGTACAGCAGAAATATTTTTTTTTCCCCTTCACAAAACGCTTGTGATTTATTTATTTTATTCAGCGTGGGCCAGTTCCTGGGAAAAAAACTGTGTTAGAGGAGATGGGCTTTGTTCCACGAGAAAATGTCCTAGGATCCAGTGGGCTGGAATCTGCAATCCCAACTGGCCCATGGCCACAGCCACACGTGGGCAGGGGCAGCCCAGGGACAGCAAAGGGAGCAGCTCACCAGCGCAGCTTAGGTTTGCACAGCTTGCAATGTGTAATTAAATGCTCTCCCTCTCTAAGCTTTTAGCAATCCTAATCCGCCCTCAAATTATAAGCTCAGATATTAAAGGTGTTCATCAGGTTTGGGAGACATCTTTATTGATGTTGCAGAATAGCTGAGGTCAGATACTCTCCTGCAATACAGCAGGAGTTGTTGATGCAATTCCAGTATTTTACTTTTTCTTGGGTTTTTGTTTTTAGTGTGTTTTTATTTTTAAAGTTCATTGAAATTTTAGAGCTCCCCCTTTATTGTTCAGATTCTTGAGCTCCATGATTTTTTGGCTCTTTACAGTGATACAGGACAA